GCCTTCTGTATTCATACAGGCATTTATTTCATCTTCATTTTTGATTATATGAAGTACTGTCAACCATTAGTATGAATTTTCGACTAGTATTCACTTTCAGCATTTTTATTACCGTATATTTCAACATATAAGGCAACCTATAGATAAAAGAGGGAGGGACAGTGGAGTAATGGATACTGGCTCGGATTGAGGAATCGGAGAGCCAAGTTCGAATTCCAGTCGAATCAATTACATTCACTTACGTGATAATACCATTGTGAAACGTATGAATCCTTTTCTCCCCCCCCACCAGCTATGGGTAAATAACATGACAGACCGGTTTCTATAACCTTTGATGGCAATTGGTTTACCGCAGAAAGAAATGGCAACCTACTGCGGGAAAAATCTGCTTCGTCAGTCATATATCGAAAGATACATGATCGCCTAAGCGTGTATCACGTATGGCACATAACTGACTGGCTGTTAGATAAAACGCGATTCAAAATCTTGGTAAATTTTCGTGATTTTAATCGATATCGGTATATAACCAACTGGGTTCCTTACGACGAAATTCTAAATGACGAGGTTTGTGATGCGTTCTTTGCATCAGGTAGTGATTACCATAGACATTTTGAAGGATTTGAACTATGTATGAGGGTCTCTTGGGTTTGTTTATTATCTAATGAGAAATAAAGATTTTATAGCATCTTAAATATTTTGTTGCTTAACAGTAAACAAATACTGTATAATATGGTGATTTTCCAAGCATAGCTTAGATGTGGCACAAGGCCGAAAGCATGGGGCACCCTGTGAGGATCGAAATCACTACTCAGTCGTAATTGTTCTAGCGAGACAAGCTTGCTAACCGTTACACCGCCTCGAGGTGCCCAACAAATACTGTATAATATATACGTTAAGAATTGAACAAAGTCCGACAATTTATTAAAGACATTTTTATGTTTAACATTCTTTTTATAGATACAAGTATTTACGTAAATGCTCTGTTTATAATAAACAGTATTAAATAACATTTACCGGCCCGAATGTCCGAGAAATTTTCATAGAAAATATTCGTCCTTTGACATGATTCATGGAAGATTGAAGTTTATAAGCAGTAAATTCGACCTTGCCTACCGAACGCTCTTTTGTGGCCGAGTCGGTTAAGGCACGTCAGCGTAAATGACGGTTCCGTATAGGATGCCAGTTCGAATCCTGTCAAAGGACGAATATTTTCTCGGACATATTGGTATGAAGCCACTCATAACTTTACAAATTAAGAACGAAAGATTAATTTACGTTATTTATTACTTGTGCAGGCGGAAATTTTTCAAATTGTTGTTTAATCGTCTCTCGAACATTGCATCTGAATGCGAAATCATGAAGTAAAATCAGTTTTATTATATTTACTAGCAGCATTACCCGGCGTTGCCTGGGTTTATTCAAAAAAAGATCACGAACCTCATCCAATCTGGAAAGTTAAAATAAAGACGATATTTCTTTAGTGACTCTTATCTATATGGCGAAAAATTATAATGACATGAACTATGAAAATATTTATAACAGGAGAAAGTTTTTTTGTTTTTTTACAGAAGCACAGGAAATACAAAAAAAATGTCAGCAAATAAAGAGTACATTAATCGCAATCGATCTTCGAAAATTGTTGAGGAGAAATGCTTTGTTGACAGCTTTTGCTCAAACTACATTGAATGAACAATATGCTGTCGTACAGCATTACGATGTGAATTGTTTCAACTAGAAATATTTACATATTTGCCATACCGATGCAGGTATTAGTCTACCGCGAAGCATGTATAGTTGCTTACTTATCCTTGTTGATACACACACAGGATTAAAGGGGACCTTTTCATAACTACTGTATATAATCATTATTCAGTCATCTTTTTTTTATTATTAAAAAAGGATGGAAGATATGATGAATTGTTCTCTGTGTTAAAAAGATAAAATACTGTTGTTTGGAAAGAATTAAGAGATAGTTTGAAGGCCTATCAGATCGACATTTGCGACGCATTTGTAACACAAGGACAAAGTTTTATTACATTTAGAGCTGGAGGACACCATTATAATGTGAATTGTTTCAATTAGAAATATTTACATCAGTAGTTACCATACCGAGGCAATTTTTACCCTACCGCGATCCGATACACCACAGAATTTAAGGTTAGCTATTTTAACACATTTTTAGACAATACCCTATTTTTTGAAGTGGGGGATAAAATTTAAAAGATCACTTCTTACCTGAAATATACGGTAGTTTAAGCATCATCACTTATTATTATTAATTTTTGAATAGTATGTAATTTCATCTTGCTTTTTCTTAGCTTATTAACCTCAATGGGTTTATTTAATGCCGACAAAAATTTTGTCAAAAATCTATTTCTGGTAATATTTTTCCTTCAAAAATGTATTGCTATTAATAATTTCTTGCTGCTAATATTTTTTTCCTTGAAAAATTTATTGCTGGTAATATTTTTTTCTTCCAAAAATTTATTGCTGGTAATTTTTTTTCCTTCAAAAAATTATTGCTGGTAATAGTTTTTTTTATAAAGTATTTTTGGTATTAAGACTTATTTTTACACTTTCATAATGTTTTTGCCCCAGGTTCGGAGTTAACTATTTGCCCATAGCTGGGACCCCAACAGGTGCTACCACCCCGGGTCAGGGTGGACCTGGGAACACCAGCAATTAAGAGGTGGTTCCACACTACTCAAAACCTCCTGATCAGAGGCCATGCTGCTGGACGTAGTTTATCGTCTTACCCAGGACGCGGATGTAGTTTATCGTCATACCCAAGGACGGGTTTTTTTTCTTAGAGAAAACATAACAACCATTGAACTCACTTCTGCTCTGTTTCGTATAAAGTCTATTAGAATTTTTAGTTTCTAAGGAGGGAACATCCTCTTCATTCAGACTTTTTTTTTTTTTAAATCTTAATATCTGTCATTTTCGTTTTTTGAAGCAATATAAATGTCCGATAAAAAGTAGATGTATTAATTCTTTAAAATTGCTTTGTGTACGTTTCGGAAAGAAAACTCAGAAGTTTTGTAATCTTGTCAGAAGACAATCACATTGAATAGGATGTACTTTACGTAAAACAAGAAAACGAAACCTTGATGGTGGTAACGTTCTTCGTGGCCGAATGCGAAAGCGCATGCACATATATATGTCTACACACACACACACACACACACACACACATACACACACAGAGGGTGCGATGGATAAATTGTCATCTAAATTAAGCAAGAATGAAACAAACCCTGGCATCTCATTTTAACAAATATATTTACCAAAATTACACAAAAAATATCTAGAAATACTAAAGAGTACATTCATTCAAGAAAATCGCCATTAGCTTCCACCACGGCATTCGGACGACTTCGGAATCTCCTGCAACTCTTCTGGACGGTCTCCTTGTTTAAATTTGTGAATGCTGCCATAATCCGTGTGTTCAGTTCATCTTTGTTGCTACAAGGAGTTTTGTTGGTTTCTCATACAACTGCGTTCCATAAATAAAAATGAAGGGGGTTGCAGTCTGGATAGTTAAGTGGCCAGATATAAGGGGTGATGTTGTCGCAGAAATTGTCTGATAGCCATGACTGGGTTCTCCTGCTTGTGTGGTATAGTTCAGAAACCTGTTGCCAGACACACAGGCATATCTACATTATTTTTGCATTACTTTTTCATTTCACTGAAACAGAGTTTAAACATTTCTTTCTTTCTTTCGTTCTTTTTCTCGCTGAAACCAAGTAGCATCTCTGAAATGTTATTTCCGTGTTTTCACGCGGTCAAAACGGAATAGTCCATTATTTATGAGGTTTTAGCAGGGCGTAACAGTCGTGCGAACTAACTACGGAACTAACTAAGGGAAGGACAAGCAGAACGATTATAGGATGTTTCTTTTGTAAGGATCATGAAAATGCAGTTGCCATTTTAGAAGAAATCTTCGTTAACAGACCCTCTTTCATTAAAAAAAAGACGCGCGTCTGAACCGGAGACTAAGATAGAACTACCGGAAGCCAACCAACTCTAATTCTAGTTCGACAACCAAATGGGAGGCAATCCAACGTCTCACTCAGAGATCCGGCACGTACTGTAGTAGTATCAGATACCCCCCCACCGCCATTTGAATCAGTAAGTATTGCGAATGATAGCACCGAGACTGTGGATTCTTCCGAGGTCCAAAGCTCAGAATATTGGAACGACTCTGTCATCAACACCAGATTAATTCAACGAAAGCCTGTGCACCCAAACACTGTCGGTGGTGACAAGGTTTCAAACTCTGAACGCCCTACTCAGACAGAGAGGGAAGATCCGCCTGCTGGGTTTAAATTCCCTTATCAATAACCACAGCGAACTTCTGGATAGATTTGTAAAAGGCCTCGACGGTTAGATGTCGAAGCCACCTTCGGCTGAATAAAATTAAGTTGGGGTGAATGTCTGGAAAGCAACTATTGTTGTCTCCCCTTTCGAACTAATCTAATATAAATAGTGATGGTCAAACCTCACATATATACAGTAATCGAATTGCTTTGAATAAAGCTTCATCATAAGAGTTTCTTTTCTGTATGGACACATAGAAAATCTCATTAATTATTTTTTCACAGATTAAACATGGTTTTGTCGAAAGAAGAAAGAATTGATTTCTTCTTCTGGTGTATGCCAAAAAAGGAGTATTCAATGAAAATCTCAGATACAACACACTTTATCGAACGCATAGAGAGAATGTACTAAAATGAAACAGCATTATACAGTTATTGGATCGATTTAATGCAAATATTGCAATGGTCACCCACAAATGATAGAGACTGTACTGAAGATGTTATTTGTTAATATTCCACTTCAATAAAACTTTGTTGAAAATTCCATTTCTTGAAAACATACATTTTTGTCTCTGCGTCCAGATTTTAAGGACGCCCTGCAGAGAAATATTAGAAGGAAAATTAGAACTTACAATTACGTCCGTGATATTTCAAATAACCTATTGATATTTTCATCCGTAGATTTTCCATGCAGTTACCTCCCCTGTCTGCAAATGGACAATGGCGATATGATGCCTGAGACTATGGCCATTTGTAGATATTTGGCCCGTGAACACGGTAAGTTCCACATACCATACAATTATTTTAATTTAATGACAATTTTTTAAACTGAGATAAAATAAACTTATGCAGACAAAAATTTTTTTTTAATTGACATCGTTATTATTTTAACTACCATCAATCCTCGGCAATGTTTATTCTTATATAAGCTATGATTAGAATTGTAATAAAACCTAAAGATATGATGAAATTTATACATTTTCTTGTTTTAATTTACATAAAAAATAATAGACACTTTTTGATATTAGATTCTTTATTTACACTATTTGTTTATTTTATTTATTGGAATAGTTGGCAAAACATTGGCTAATTTCCAACGGATTAGCAATTTATAAAATGCTACATAATAAGTATTTCAAATAACCTTCTTGCTGATAGAGTCATATAAATTAAACCCATGACTACGACGAGGAAGATGTGAACCCCTTTAGCAAGGTTATTTGCTCGTAAATGAATATAATGAAGCCGTGTGCAATTCGATCTCGATCTCTGGTTTCTAATTTCGAATCCATTACACCACCCTCACATTCAAGCTTACAGCATCTAGTATTCTCAAGAGTCTAATATGCATAATCACTACCTTATATATCTTTATATTATTTTTAAAGACAAAAAAATTGATAATATTTCTTTTAAAATTACAGATGATGTGATGTGATATTGATTCACACATTTTAATTATTAAATATTTATAAATTTAAGAACTAAAATTGTTTACACATATATCTTTTATACATTGCTAAATTATAATGTCACCATGCCTTAGTTTTAATTGTATTACTTTTTGAAGGCTATAAATATAATATTGTTCTTGTAAAGAAATAATCAGTAAATAGTGATTGATAATTTTTTTAATTTTCAAGAACAAAAACAAGCATGTCATCACATGTTTAGATTTTTTTTATTACAACAAAGGGGGAGTGAAGGTAGTTAAAATAATAGCGGTGTCAAGGGAAAAACATTCTTTTGATGCTGTTAGTTTGCGGGCACGAATGCCCATGTTTGCTAAAATTCTACAATTTAAAATAAAACAATGAAAAAACTGAAAGTTTTCGATAATTATAATACATTCATTTTTTTTGTTGGAACTGGGTGAAAACAGTAAGTTTCTTTTAAAACAACTTTTTAAGATATAAAGTAGCATTAAATTATATCGAAATCTTGTACAGAAAATGGCTGATGTATGAAAGATTATTTGAAATAGACAAATTTGGAAAACATTTCATTTTAATATATGATGAATAAATAAGTGTAATTGGTATCAAATCATTTCTGCAGGTTTTTACCCCAAGAGTCCCATGGACATGTTCAGGTGTGACTACATCAGCGATTGCATGTATGAAATCATGCACGATTACATGAGGTACTACCACTGGAAGAACGGACGCTTCAGGGTGAGTCAGATATTTCGAATCTGTTTAACATTTCATATATACATCTTTCAACACACTATCTATAGAAATAGATAAGCAAAGAGTCTATAGTTAAATGATTATTATGACTAAAAGACATTAGCTAAGATGAGTGTCTAGTGCTTTGTAAATAATGACTGCTTCTACGAAATCATGCACGATTACATGAGGTACTTCCACTGGAAGAACGGACGCTTCAGTGTGAGTCAGTTATTTCGAATCTGTTCAACATTTCATATCCACATCTTTCAATACACTATCTGTAGAAATGGATAAGCAAAGAGGCTATAGTAAAATGATCATTAAGACTAAAAGACATTAGTTAAGACGAGTGTCGTGTGCATTGTAAATGTTATGGATTCCGAGATGAAATTCGGTCTCCAATGGATGACAAACGCAAGAAATAAAGATGAGAAATTAAATGTATTTACACAATAATGCAATGGGTATATTGTTAGTAAATCCAGAAACGCGGTTAGTCGTAATAATAATAATAATAATAATAATATATATATATATATATATATATATATATATATATATATATATATATATATACAGCCTAGAAGTAGGACTTCCTTAGAGTCTACGTGATTGTACAGTGGAACCCGGATATAAGAGAGATTTTATCCGGTCCCAAATTAGAGCCTGTGTTAATGTATATAAAATAGACCAAACCCGGATATAAGAGAAACCCGGATATAAGAGACTTCTTCTCCGGTCCCGACAACTCGCTTATATCCGGGTTACACTGTAACTGACTTCTACAAGCGGTTACCTCACACTATTACTCTACCTCCAACTCAATCACAATCTCTGCTCACTCTCCCAATATCTCTCTCTCTCTCTCTCTCTCTCTCTCAATCTCTCTCAATCTCAATATCTCTATTCTGACTGACTCTGGGTATTTAACGGCAGCAGTCCAAGTCACACTCTGGTCTAGTCCACTTATATGAAAAAGGGGAGGACCCCATAACAGTAAATAATGACTGCTTCTATTAAATCATACGCGATTACATGAGGTACTACCACTGGAAAAACGGACGCTTCAGATATTTCGAATATTCCCAATATTTCATATCTACATCTTTCAACACACTAACTATAGAAATGGATAACAAAAGATTGAAGGTTATTTTTTTTTTTTCGGTAACAAATTCCTACTACACTACCTACAAACATAACTACAGAAAGAGAAAAATGTATTTATAGAAAGAGGGATATGTATGTTAGGGAAAGTGAGAAACCTATTTATTGAACTGTAATTTCCTTATCTGACGATAACTGTCGCATGGGCATTCCGGAAAAACGTCTTTTCTCTCCGTATGCAGGCGGTTCACAAGATGTCTACAGATTCGTTAAATATCATATTTTTTAATGCAGATTTTTAAGTCAGCGAGCAATTGGTACTCGCCTCAAAATTTTTTGTTTCACTGAGTACTTGTCTCTTGAACACGTATTTGATACTCGGAGGCGGGGGGGAGGGGAGGAAACAATATTTCTGAATATTCTTATTTAATATTCTATGTCTGTTCAGAACGCAGACCTGAATCTATCTATCTATCTATCTATCTATCTATCTATCTATCTATCTATCTATCTATCTATCTATCTATCGCAGTCTTTTCGCATCTATATCAGTCTGTTCGCATCTATCTATCTATCTATCTATCTATCTATCTATCTATCTATCTATCTATCGCAGTCTGTTCGCATCTATCTATCTATCTATCTATCTATCTATCGCAGTCTGTTTGCATCTATCTCATTCTGTTAGCATCTATCTATCTATCTATCTATCTATCTATCTATCTATCTATCTATCGCAGTCTGTTCGCATCTATCTATCTATCTATCTATCTATCTATCTATCTATCTATCTATCTATCTATCTATCGCATTCTTTTCGCATCTATCTCAGTCTGTTCGCATCTATCTATCTATCTATCTATCTATCTATCTATCTATCTATCTATCTATCGCAGTCTGTTCGCATCTATCTATCTATCTATCTATATATCTATCTATCTATCGCAGTCTGTTCGCATCTATCTATCTCTTTTAAATTTAACATTGGGGTTCAAAATATACACATGAAAAATATCTAATTACCGATGGGAAATAAATAAATGTCTTATAAATAAATCAATTTTAATTAAACCAAATAAAATTCCTCTTCCTTTTCATTCTCCCTTGTCTTTCTTCATTTCCAGTACAACATGAACGACTACGGCTTCGGAGGTGAGGGCAACTGCAGCAACTACGACGTAAGTCTTTATTTTTTTTATTTTCTTGTATCGACATTATTCAAAGAAATGTTAAATATTTTCATTAAATCAACACCGAACAGACTCTTTAAATTTACCCATCCGCACCTTTTATATCAAGTGGATTTTGAAAACTTATAACACAGAATTCAGTCAAATTAACACAATGTTTTGCCATATTTTCCTGGATTTTTTTCTCTCTGACACCACCGACATTGAATAACGGTAAAAATGCAAGAGTCATTTTCCTCTGTTTTAGTTTAATATCCCAAATATTTTGTGCTTCATCTGTCGGTCTGGATAGACCATGGATAGGGGTCCATGATCTGTTGAGACTGAGAAATGCCCCCCAAACTTAAGCCTCAGCTGCTGATAGCAGCGCAGCATCTGTCATGGCTGTACAGGCCCACACAGAAGTGACAGTCTTCATTGCAACGAATGTAAGGACGCCCTCCCACAATGTTACCGTGTTATTTTCTTTTCTTCGAACACGTTTCACCCCTGTGGAATGCCTCCGTTCCTTTTCTCCTCTCTTCCCTCTTCGGTCTAAATCACGTCTCCAGCGTGAGCGATCGTTGTCAACGTTTTCCCCGTCTCTTGATGTAAATGTCCATCGCCCTCATGTCACTTTTACTTGAAGCGAAGATCGGGTCGTTCTCGTGCAGTCTTTCCGGACAGAAGGACCTTCGGAATCTTTCTATCGGTAGACTGCTGCTTCATGTGTTTTGCCGCAGGACTGAGCTGGATTTTATGAGAGATAGGCGGTTGCCCCTGTAGCACGTCTCCCTTCTCCATGCCGCCGATGCTGTCCAAGTAAAGGTAGAATCTCATACAGCTTGTCGCCGACGCCGTCGCAAGAGTTGCCAAAAAGAAGCTGAACATAACATCGGACTGTCTTATCGACACCGTCTCCGGGGTTGTCCTCAGGGTTTACTTCCGTTCCCAAATTATAAAGCAATTTAAATCGGTAAAAAAACTGTTCTCAAGAAGATATTTAAAACATTTAAATTCCTTTCATGAATTAAATTTTTCATTACTTGTATTTCGTACCATATGGCGGGAATCAGGGCCCTTCTTCCTGAATTGATGTTTAGGAACCTTGTCTCGTGAGAACAATTACAAATGTACAGTGAGTGTGATTTTCAATGGGTGTTCCATACTTTCGGCCTTGTGGCACACTTAAGCTCTGAATATTAACATATGGTTGGCACCAAATTTTTCAGCATAATATTTCTTGATCATGTTCCAGATCTATATTTCTGTGCTTTCGGTAATCCATTTTGGTCGATAATAACCCCAAAAGTTAAGGTTAAATACTTTAAAATCAGAACTTTATCCCCTTTTCTAACTGCTGTTGTTCTTTTCAGATCAGGTATTATAAAGCTAAAAACGTATTTGTTTAATTAGAAATACCAGAGTTTTATTTTAATCTTCATTTTTAAGTAAGAACTAGCAGCATGGCCCGGCGTTGCCCGTGCTTGATTCAAAAATCGTACGACTCATACAGAAATCGCTATCACTTAAAATACTTTTGCCCTTCCTTGCTTTTAAAGGAGTGCCCTTCTTGCCTATCTCACACTGCGATTTTTTCTATGCTCTATACTAAACATTAAATCTGTTACGAAAAAAGAACTAAACAAAATGAATACAAAACGATCAGCTTTAAAAAGGACTCGTAACTGGAAAAACCGAATGAAAAAACAACAAATACTTTTTCACACCCAACCCAGTTCTGCGGAATCAGAATCAACGTTGAGTTTAAGCATGCGAATGAGCCAATTGGAGTAAAGTGCCATGCAGATTTAAATTTTTCCCACTTGTGACGAATGCAGCTATCGATTTTTTTTGCATGCTAGTTAACGTTCGTGTCAGTCAGCTGTTGGCTCTCATTCTGGCCAGTACAAAATGGCCGCAAACTATATGAAAACTGCCGTAGAAGCATGAAAAAATGAATTATTTCTACTATCGATGGGAGTTGGGAAATGCAAAGTCGGTCTTGGCCTTCCCGCTAACTTGGAGCATGTGCATGTAAATTTTGGTGCAAATCCGCCGAAAATTGCGGCCGTGCAATCGTCACACACACACACACACACACACACACACACACACACACACACACACACACACACACCCTGCCTTTTATAGATAGAGATAACATTAATACAGTTCCGTAATTCACCTGAAAAATCATTTATAAAGTCCAGAAACGACAAATGTCCGTTTGGTACTACTGTACGAGCGCGTTTTTTCTACAAATACAGAAATTAATACATCATAATGTATTTCTTTTTTCAGAACTACATGCAATGGAGATACATGAACACCTTCAACAGAATTATGCCTTTCATGGAGAGGACCCTGAGCATGCGCAATGGAGGAAGCAACTTCTTCATGGGAGACATGGTAGGTTTCTGTGCTTTGCATAAATAAATATACTTTATAGGCTTTACAGCAATTCTAGAAAAGTATTTGGTATAGGAAACGTAAGATATTTAGATGTAATCAGACTTTTAGAATCGGATACCACTTTCTTGAATCATGTAGATCAAATTTTCAGTATTAAAATATATGAATTGTTATGCAGAAAAGTAGCTGTAAGAATAAAGCACGAAGTGAAAACATGGCGCATATGAACCGATTCATTTGTAGATATCTGGTATGAGTACAGGAATTTAATTTTTAATATCTGGGAAGCGTTTTAACTGGGGATAGATAGAGTGACACTGAAATTCGAAGGTGTATTTGGAAAGCGAAGGTTGTCTTCTAAAAGCTAAGCGGAGTACTAAGAAATAGAAAAAATTCCTTAGAAACAAAAAAAAAAGAGAGAGAGAGAGAGATATTATGTAATATCTGTTCTTCGATATGGAAGTGAATGGTAGACAAACTCCTCGCAGATGAAGAAGAGACATGAAGCAACAGAAATAGAAAGAAAAGAGTACTGAACTGTTCTGTAATATCAGTCCTATATGTCAGTGAATGCTGGACAATCTCCTCACAAACGAAAATGAATCTTGAGACAAGAAAAACAAAGAAAAGCGAACTGAAATGTTACATCATATCAGTCCTGCTATATGTCTGTGAATGGGAGACACATAGAGGAAGAAGAGTCTTGAGACAAGACTAACAAAAAAATGAGTACCGAAATTTTATGTAATATGTCTTCCTATATGGTAGTAAATAATGGACAACCACCTCACAGATGAAGAGACTTTAGACAAGAGAAACAAAGAAAAGAGCACTTAACTGGTACATATAATACCAGTCTTCGTATATGGCAGTGAATGCTGGACAGTCTTATCACAGATGATGAAGCGACATAAAGCAACAAAGAAAAGAGTACTGATCTGTTATGTAATATCAGTCCACTTATATGGGATGAAGAAGAGGCTTGAAGCAGCAGAAATGTGGTTCTACAGAAGGATGCTTAGATTTCTTGAAAATTATTTGGAATTTTTATTTTCATTCATTCACCTAAATTAAGTCACTAAAATGCAAGGGTTACTGGGTGCGAAACAGTAAAAGCAAAGAAATCATACTTAAAGATTTTGGACAATAAAAGAACAGGATTTAAGCATACAAAAAAAGAAACTGTCAGCATAGAACTTACGGTTTCATCTAGCTATTTCAAATTAAAATCATGGGACCTTTCTGTCAATCTAATACAGTGCTTTAATTGTTAAAGTCGAGGTACCAGCTCATTAGGACCGAAGGATCATGAATTGACGTGGAAAAGAATGATAATACTTTTGTGGCGAGAAAGACAATAAAAGAACAGGTTTCACGAAGATTAAAGTTGGCGATAGATGTTGCAGTTACATGTTTTGAAGATTGTAAGTGGAAGTGAAACAAGAAAGTGGAGCAGAGTTCCATATAAGTACGAGAAAAGAAACAGTTAGAATAGAAGTTACGGTCACATCTAGCTAATTCAAGAGTAAAACAACGAGACCTAACAGACACTCTGGTAGTACGCTTCAGTTCTTGTGGTCGCGGTACCAAGGAGGTGAGTTCGTTAGAACGACTGTCATGAAAATATTTATAGAAAAGACAGACGTCAAGATGGTGGAAAACTGTCTGGAATCGAGATGCCAGGTCAGGATCAGTAATTTTACAGGGGTTTCGCGGGATTCTGTCGTGCGTCTCGAAATATGGCAGCAATGTTCGATATACGGACGAATGGTAGAGTTATAAATGTGCATAATGGATTACCCGACACCGGCCTGGCCCGACACCGTGAAGTAACCTTCTTAGCAGCTGAATATACGACAAATTGCAGCGTACAAGTCGACCTGGCGTACAAGTCGACCTCACAATTTTTAGCTCAAAATACCGAATTAGGTATATACTTACCGTACAGGGCGACGCCCAAAAGACGACAGGCTTCCAGTTGCCCTAAATGTAGGTCTACCGTAAATGAAGGCTATATGTAGATCAATAAACTGGAATGACTATCTGGAAATTGCGCATAGTACACACATATGTACCTAGTTGTCATAATGACCCCTTGAGTCAGTATTTACATTTAGTGTATCAGTGGTTGGACACGGTGTGTGCTGTAGCATTAATAGAATAAATAATTTGCGTTACTATTTTATTATTTTATATTAATTTCTGTGTTCATATGTCAAATAATTGTTAGGAATGCTGACCCACTTGTTTAAAACTCGGTGATAAAGATTTGCATTTTATAACCCTCATATAAGTCGACCCCTATTTTTGGAAAGATTTTCTTGGGCTTGAAAATTCGACTTGTACGCCGCAATTTACGGTAATCGTCTGTAGAAAACATGGGACCAAAAGTGCCACGATTTGCTCTCCTGGAGGTTATCAGCA